AATGTTTTACGTTCGTTAGGATAGTAGGGTATTGTGGTCGGCTTTTACGTGCCTTTTCCATTCTCTATATTATAAAATTAATAAGAAACATATACTCACAGATAAATAATAACTATCTATCTATACTATAGTTATATACTTTGTAAGCTGCGGCTTGGCTCTGCCCCTGGCATTGCTGAAGTCCATGGGTGACGGTAATCACTCACCATCAGGTGGAGCGTATGCTCGTCTGCCTTCAAGGGCAATAAAAAAAAAACATATTTTGAGTAATAAAACAGTTATTAGAGAGAAAGTGAAACGCTTAGAATTTGGAAAAAAGGAGAATAATTTAATATTCTACGGCTTCGAGGAATCGAATGAAAATATTAACATAGTAGAAATGGTATCAACAACTTTAAACGATTCGGGTATCGAAGTGCATAAAACACATATTAACAAAGCGTTTAGAATTGGTAAAATAAAAGAAAGAGCACGCCCAATTTTAATTAATATGCTAAACGCATGGAAGAAAGATGAGATTTTGCGAAATAAGAAAAAGCTGCCAAAAAATATTTACGTTAAAGAGGATTATAGTAAAGAAGTTTTAGAAAGAAGGAAAGAACTAATACCTCAGTTAAGGGAAGAACGAAAAAAGGGACGTATAGCATACATCAAATACGACAGACTAATTGTTGAAGGTGAAGCAAGTGGGATGCGAGATAAAAGGAAGAGAGATCAATCTACCTCACCAAAGACAAAGAATGATACTGAAAACGCCCCGACAAAAGTAAACAAAATAAATGCCTTCGAAAGGATGTACAGGAATAGGGCTCACTCAACATCCCATATAAATAAAGTATAGCAATCAACACACATCGGAAACCGGAAAATCAGAACAAATGAACGAAAAATTACTAACAAGACAAACAAAACAACAACACCTCTCCCAAGCTGGCTGGTCACTGTCGCGGATATCGACCAATTCCTTCCATCTCTAATAAAGGAAAATACCAATATTACCAAAACACCAAAACTAAAAGAAAATAGGAAACTATATATTCCTACATCATTCCCCAACCCGACTTGTCCTCGTGGGGAATTAGACTATAACCCTCCACCAAATACAGAAACAGACCAAGACGTAAAACAAACCCTCAAAATCTGCACTTATAATGTAAGAACACTTTCATCAACAGAACGATTCCTAGAATTAACGAATGCTCTAAAAAATATTAATTGGGACATTCTAGGCCTCGCAGAAATCCGAAAAATGGGATGTAAAATCGAAGAGTACAGCGACCTTATCTTTTGCTACATTGGCGAAACTAAAGGACTACATGGAGTAGGATTTTTAATCAAGAAAAAATATAAAAACAACATCACCAACTTTATAGGAATCTCAGAAAGAGTAGCACTTTTGCAAATAAAATTTGAAAGCCTCTCCTTATCAATAATCCAAGCATACTCGCCGACAGAGAGATCAACAGAAGAAGAAATTGAAAAATTTTACGAAGATATTGAATATGCTCACACCAAGACGGAAGGAAAGGTCATAGTCATGGGAGATTTCAATGCGAAAATAGGTTGCCCGAAAACAAACTACTATCCAGTAATGGGAAAATATGGTTACGGAGTGAGTAATGAAAGAGGTGAACGTCTCTTAAGTTATGCTTACCAACACAAACTGTCAATAATGAACTCATTCTTCAAAAAGAAGAAGAGCCGCAGATGGACATGGTTATCACCGGACCAAAAAACTAATAATGAAATAGATTTTATAATGATAAATCACCATAAACTCATAACTAATATCGAGGTACTAAGCAAATTTAACTTTTCTTCCGATCATAGATTAGTGAGAGCATCATTACTTTTAAGTCGTCCAGTAAAGAGCAGAAGAAGCTACACAACACCATTTAATGTCCCTAAGACAGAAACAGAAATTAAAAACTATATCGAAAATCTACGAATACACACAGAAAATATAGAAACAGAGTGTAATGATATCCAAACATACTACGATATCCTAGAAAGAGGCATAACAGAGAGTCTAAAATACAAAAACAGTGCACATGCTCATCAACACAATATTTTCTCCAAAGATACAATCCAGCTTATAAAAAGGCGCACGGAACTATCATACACAAAGAATAAAACTAAAGACATGAAAGAAGAACTCAGCAGAATATACAAAGAGGCTAATAGGTCAATCCGTAAGGACTACAACGACCACAGATATGAGATTATCTCAAGAAACATACAGAATTTTAGAAGTACCAAAAAAGCCTACAAAGAATTAACTACACATAAGTCATGGATTCAAAAACTCGAACATAACTCACTAGAAACAAAATCTAGAAAAGATGTAATAAACCATGCGACAGACTTCTATAAAAACTTATATAAGAAACAAAACAGCATTGAAACGAAAGCGCAAATAACTCACATGAACACAACAGACTGCATCAGAAAAATTCAAGACTCCGAAGTGTACGAACAAATGAATAAGTTGAAGCCTGAGAAGAGTCCCGGACCAGATGGACTATGTAATGAGGCCCTTAAAATAGCAGCACCTATTTTAACACGCCATTTTACGAAATTGTTTAACATGATACTAGACGAAGAAAAAGTACCGAAACAATGGTGTGCATCAGACATAATTTTACTCTTCAAGAAAGGATGTCCCTTAGATATAGGAAATTATAGACCCATAAGCCTGCTGGCGAGCATATATAAACTATTTTCATCCATAATTTTAAAGAGAATATCCGACGACATCGACAAGCTGCAACCAAAGGAGCAGGCGGGATTCAGATCAGGCTTTAGCACAATGGACCACATACAAACACTAGAGCAGGTCATAGAAAAATACAGAGAATATAAAAGACCTCTGTATGTGGCCTTCATTGACTACAGTAAAGCTTTCGACAGCATCAGTCACTGTTCAATCTGGAACGCATTACAACAATCAAATGTTAACTATAAATACATCAATATCTTGAAATATATCTACACAAAAAGTACGAGCAGAGTTAAATTAGAAACTAGAGGAGACGAGATAAAAATAGAACGAGGAGTCAGACAGGGAGATCCTCTTTCCCCGAAGCTGTTCATAGCAGTACTTGAAACTATTTTTCAAAAACTAGATTGGAAAAAAAGGGGAGTGTACATAAACGGACACTACCTAAACCATCTGAGGTTCGCTGACGATGTTGTTATAATTGCTGAAACTGCCAAAGACCTAGAGGAAATGATGAGATCACTGGACTGCGAAAGTTCAAAAATCGGCCTAGAAATGAATGTAAGCAAAACTAAGATATTAACCAACAATCACGAACGCCCGATAATGATAAAAGGTAACAATATAGAATACGTCAGCGAATACATCTACTTAGGGAAGCAAATCTCATTCAAAACGACAAGCAACGAAGAAGAAGTAACAAGAAGAATCAACGCAACTTGGAAGAAATTCTGGGCACTAAAAGAAATCCTAAAAGGGAACTACAGCTTGCGTATGAAAAGGGCAACATTTGATACATGCCTGTTACCCTGCTTGTTGTATGGCTGCCAAACGTGGATATTTACAAATAAAATAAAACAAAAAATTAAATGCAGTCAAACAGCCATGGAAAGGAGCATGTTGAAAATTAGAAGAATACATAGAATTAAGAATGAAAGCATTCGTCAAAAAACTAAACTTACCGATGCTCTCAGCCACGCACTCTCACTTAAGTGGAGATGGGCCGGACACATCTCACGATACCCAGACAAAAGATGGACCATTGAAGCCACACGATGGAAAGGACCAATGGGGAAAAGGAATGTTGGTCGACAATTAAGACGATGGGCCGATGACATAACACACGTCGCAGGAAACGACTGGATAAAATCAGGCAAGGACAAGGAGTCATGGAAAAGGATGGAGGAGGCCTTTACCCAGATAGGGGTCCAAATCTCATAAATAGTACTAATATTAAATAATTAATTAATTATAAGTATGTAACCTTTTAATTTTAAACTACAACTTACTAACAATCATTGTGTTATAAATCGAGAGTGAGAATTGGATTAAATGGCTTTATTATTATTATTATTATTATTATATAGAGAGAAATTGTCAATTGGATTCTTTGTTTTCGTTGTTCTTTAAATTTACATATCCGTTAGCTTAAGTTACTTTTTGAGCCTCACTTCAACTTGAAGAAGGAACAATGGATTTGCAAGTCAAGATAGGTACGAGATCAGGGATGTACCACAGTAGTACAGTGTACTAGCACGAATGGTCGCAGATCTGTATTTTCGCTGGAGTATTATCCGAAGAAACTGTGATCTCCAAAACACGGACGTCATAAAAACATTCAATTGATTAAAATATTGAAGCTGCCTACCGAGAGCCTACGCTTTCAGCAGCGGCTTGGCTCTGCCTCTGGCATTGCTGAAGGCCATGGGCAACGGTAATCACTCATCATCAGGCGGGCCGTATGCTCGTCTGCCTACAAGGGCGATAAAAAAAATATAGTACACACTAACGATCATATCTTGAACCTGTACCTTGAATAATGTACGTGTTTTTTTATTACTTACTAGTATACCTACAGAATCCAGATGGCGCACGATTATTCTAACTTTACCGTCGTTTCATTAAATTACGCTCCTAATGAATAAATGTATTACACGGGGGATTCTGTGCTTCACTTTTTGCTTTCTTTATTATTAACCGCTGCAGACAATTTCTTATGTTTTTCTAAGATATTTTTATCGTGCGTTGTATGAATTGCGACATAGTATTACGATGTGTTTTAGCGTTTTTAATATTTGAAAATAATGTTTAATCTGTGCATGAGTTTGAAAGACAATATTTTTGATAATCATGCATTAAAACATAATGAATATGGTGAAAGCTAACCACTGCCAATATCAAATTATTTTTTATGTAATTTTTTGCCCCAATCCATGAAGAACTATAAATTTAAAGTCCCGTATTACAAGGAAGCAGTAAGGTTTTGTTCTTTTTGTTTCAGTGTCTACGGTCGATGTGGACGCAGTGCTAGGGCGCACTGCGTCCTTGCCCTGTGACGTCACGCCCGACGCCAACGAAGACCGCGTGTACATGGTGCTCTGGTTCCGGAAAAGTGGTGGGAAACCTATATACAGGTAAATGAAAAACCACGTCAAACTAATAACTAGTTAGAGTTTTTTGAAAACGGCCATATATAATTGCAACCATCACGAGTACCAGCTGAAAGATCTTCACTGTTATAAAACTTTATTTTCCAAAGTTAAATTCATGGTTCAAGGTTATTAATGGTATATCATTTATTGATGGCATGCACTGCTATGCGCATAACAAAACGGGGCATGCGCGATATATCGGTCATCAGGGTCTCTCTTGGGGCGTGGTGAAGGAAAGAAGATCAAAACTAATGATCAAAATTGAAGTGGGGAGCTTTCTTAAGTGGGTCTCTAAAGGGGTGAATTGAATTTAGTTGAGTTCAATCCATTGAAGACACAGGTTTGCGCGTTCACTGCGAGAAAGATCCTCTTGTCATATTGCCACAATTCCAAGCAGTATACCTGTAATCTTCGTCGGGTATAGTGATTCATTGGATCGGCATTAATTCCAGCAAGGTCCAATGTCGGAGTGACTTAAACGGCAAAGCCAATTTGGTCTCAAAAGACCTGGAATTCCTCAATTGAGCGAAGCGGTTATCCACGCTTGGACAAAGAAATACGTCTTACAAAGCATATGTCTGGCATCCCGTGGTTTAGTGCTCTCACCTCTGCGCTAGGTCTTTCAAACACCAACTACTTCCATTTGACTGCATACAGAAGAAAGATTCGATTGGATACTCAATAATACCATTCTCTCTAGATCAATTGAAAAACTTCATTTCTCTCCATGTTTATTAATAGATACGTTTCGTCTTTTATTTCATTATTGTTATAAGAGGAAATCTTTTAACTCAAATAAAATTAAGATTATTAAAAACAAATATTTTATGAAAAGAAATAATGGATAAGTCACTTAATTTCTCTAACAATCACTCATCATTTATACATTCAGCGGTACACGTCATGCCGTCGTCCCTTCTCGATTACAAGACGGCTCCTACAAAAACTCGATGAATGCCTATCTAATTACCAGCGTAAAGTCCCGACTAATGAACCGTTCTTCGGTGCCTTAAACGGATGAACGGAAGCCGAGCACAAGCAATCCAATTAGCGTTAGGAACACACCTACAGCGAAACACACTTAAGACGTCACTCGGTGCTCGTTAAGAAAATCACACTTGACTATTTGCGACAGGGCCAGCTCTGTCAATATACCCCAGGGCTACGAGTCTTACTGTCGTCACACACGGTACTTGGCGCAAGCAAATCTTGGTGGACTAAACGATTTCGAAAATAGACAGAAAAAAGGATATATTTCAAATGATTTTGCCTGATACATTATATTGTGTATTTTTTTATTTTTTTTATTGCTGAGATGGGTGGACGAGCTCACAGCCCGCCTGGTGTTAAGTGTTTACTGGAGCCCATAGACATGTACAACGTAAATGCGCCACCCACCTTGAGATATAAGTTGTAAGGTCTCAAGTATAGTTACAACGGCTGCCCCACCCTTCAAACCGAAACGCATTACTGCTTCACGGCAGAAATAGGCAGGGTGATGGTGCCTACCCGTGCGGACTCACAAGAGGTCCTACCACTAGTAATTACGCAAATTATAATTTTGCGGGTTTGATTTTTATTACACGACTAGCGGACCCGGCCACACGTTGCTGTGGCTGTGGCTTAGGTTTTTGTTTCTAAATAACNTAAAAACAAATATTTTATGAAAAGAAATAATGGATAAGTCACTTAATTTCTCTAACAATCACTCATCATTTATACATTCAGCGGTACACGTCATGCCGTCGTCCCTTCTCGATTACAAGACGGCTCCTACAAAAACTCGATGAATGCCTATCTAATTACCAGCGTAAAGTCCCGACTAATGAACCGTTCTTCGGTGCCTTAAACGGATGAACGGAAGCCGAGCACAAGCAATCCAATTAGCGTTAGGAACACACCTACAGCGAAACACACTTAAGACGTCACTCGGTGCTCGTTAAGAAAATCACACTTGACTATTTGCGACAGGGCCAGCTCTGTCAATATACCCCAGGGCTACGAGTCTTACTGTCGTCACACACGGTACTTGGCGTAAGAAAATCTTGGTGGACTAAACGATTTCGAAAATAGACAGAAAAAAGGATTCAAATGATTTTGCCTTATACATTATGTGTATACATGATCTAAAATACTTCACGCGTCTCCTATAAATTCTATCAAACCGCCGACTTTGAAATTGCGTTGCAGTTATCATGTCAATAGCGTTTGAATACAGATTTACATAGTTCTTACATCCTCTGTTTACAAAAATGACAACTACATACATACATTGAAGTTTTCTGGATCGCTAGAGAGCACTAGTTGTTTTTTTTAACCTAAGCTGGTAGCCTAGAGGGCTATGCGAGGGTATTCGGACAAGTAGATGAGCTCACGGGGCTCTAACCTGAGGAACTGATTGTGGCGTGTTTTATGTCCTCACAGGTAGGTAGGTATGCCTATTTCTGCGGCGAAGCAGTCATGGGTTCCGTGTGAAATGGTGGAACAACCATTGAATACGAGACTTCACGTCTTAGGATTTTTGAAAGCATTCACGCAGTGATGTCTATGGGTTCCGGTATCACTATGTGGAATGTGAGGACACCAATATTTGCAATGAAAACTCACTCTTGTCAGAGCGGTCTTCAGTACCTTTGCTGTGGGCAGATGTTATGCGCCCTACGAGCAACCGCCACTTCTCCCGGTTTATGGTGAGCCTGGTACACTCATGCAAATAACCGCCAACTGCCTAGACTTGTTTGTAGATAGTTGACGTAAAATGAGTAGAGCCTTAAATTTAGCTATCTACGGGCTCATAGTATGTGGTATGATAATAATTCGTTATCAAAGAACAAATAATGTAGCTGAGAAAGTTTTGGGATAGAAATTAGAGGAACAGCCTAATAATATTCGGTTCTCAGTAAAAAAAAATTGCCGTAAAGCAACCATGCGTTGAAGGGTTTGAACAGCCGTTTACGATTGAGGCTTTGACCTCATGTCTTAAAGTGACATTCATATTGTGAGGCCTATTACTCCCCAAAACCACTTACCACAAGCTGAGGTAAAAATAATAATGTCATGAGACAATTAGTACAGCCTTTGAAGTCTTTAGTACTAGTATTCATTGAATAAAATCATTCACCTTTTACCATCAAATAAAAAGCTGAGTTTATTCGTAAAATCGAGTAATTGTTTAGAAAAGATTGAGTCAAAGCCAATTCCTTTGTGAGCCCAAAGGAAATAAGAACCTTATTTTCTTCAAAGGAAATCATTTTTGTTTGACGTCTTGAAACGTGTGGCTTTCAAACCAATACATAATGAAAAAAAAACGTACACATAAATCGGGCTAACGTTCAATAATGCACTTCGTTTGTATAAACTTTGAATGAAAGCATTTTTAAAAAGACTAGAGGTCCCGCAGTAGTGGAAATTCGACTATAATGAATTGAAATTATAAGTTTGTACTCTATTATGATTCTTTTGTCAAAGACTAATAAGCTTCTTTAATCACAAATTGCGCCAAAACTACACTTTAGACAAATATTAACAAAGACAAACAATATTTAATCTATTCTCAATTTGACCATAGACTTTATGCAATAAGAAAAGTTTGACAATAAACAAATAGCATGCATGCGTGTGTGTGTCAAATAAATGGTAGTGTGTGTAATGTTTTCTTTATTGATTTAATGTATCTTTTATGCATTATTTTAACAAAATATTAGCATTGTGCACTTCTTCTGTATATTCTCTATAAGTGTAGAAAATTTCATACTCCTCCGTCCGCGCAATTTTTGTAAAAAGGGGATACAAAGTTTTTGCTTCACGTATTAATATATAGATATTTTTGTTGTATATTTTTTCGTCTACTATTACTTTTAGTGTAGTTTATTTTGATTATGATTATGGTGTGCTGGAAGAAAACTTTTGTATGAATACTGTTTAAACCGTATTTCGTTATTTTACCCAAATCGCTCGTTTTTTGTTAAATGTTTTCTGTGTACAATAAAGAACTAATAAAAGAAGGTATGATGTTTGATGATTTATTTGCGAACGGGTTCTTTAATCGAATATTAGTTTAGAATTAGTTTTTCTTGCAAGTCTTTAATTTTACGTTAAGTAAAACTGAACCGAAATTTCAATTTTAAGAATCGGTTCCGAGAGAACTNATTTTACCCAAATCGCTCGTTTTTTGTTAAATGTTTTCTGTGTACAATAAAGAACTAATAAAAGAAGGTATGATGTTTGATGATTTATTTGCGAACGGGTTCTTTAATCGAATATTAGTTTAGAATTAGTTTTTCTTGCAAGTCTTTAATTTTACGTTAAGTAAAACTGAACCGAAATTTCAATTTTAAGAATCGGTTCCGAGAGAACTCTTTAGAAAACATGGTCTTAAGTATTGTATTTAGTGTTTGTATTTCTTTTTGACGTGACAACGTCTTATAATTCGATGGAGCCGGCTGCACGCACGAAAAAACATGACTCATGCGGCGTTACCTCGCTCTGAGGTGTTCCATTTAAGGCTTGAAGTGCAAACGAGAGCGCGCAACGATCGACAAAGAGGCACTATCGGCCTCCGCGTTCGGCATCGTTCGACACCTGTCTCTCTCCTACTTGAGTGAGCGATGCAACCGCGTGGACAGTTGCTATACAATAATACATTTACATGTTTTCGTCAAGTATGAAGTTCAGTGAAAAGTGAATGTGGTGTCAATTGTCCATACAAAATATCTATCAAACAAATAAAATTAAAATTTTCTTTTCAAAAATGAAACCATTCCATCAGTATTTTCTTATGACGTTGTTACGTTCAACTTTCGTCAGTAAAGCGACTTTACAGACAATCGATTTTTTTTTTTGAATGTATTTTAAATGCTATATCATATGCAGTAACTTCTTATTCATTCCAGTATTCGTAGGAAAATCTATTTAAGCAATTTAGTGAACATGACTTTCGCACGATTGTGAATCGTTATCAACATCGTCCACTGAACACGACGGATGCTTACCAAAGCGGGCGATTACATGAAATTGCAATTATAAGTATCTCGGAGGTAATAACGGGGCGGTGTGAACGCTTTGCGGAGATAATGCCGTCATAAAAAGCGTGCTTAAATTGTTAAATTTACCTGGGAACAGCAGGGTGTACAATCAAATCATCTTTCTCAAAGCTTCTTGCTGTATAAATTAGGATAAAGGCTGTGAGATTGAGAGAATGTACCTTCTCCGGAAATTGAAAAACTTCAGCCGCCCGGCCCTTTCTTTTCTAGCTTTTGACAGATTTTTTGCTTACAGCGAAAATTTTGTCGAATCATAAGATATTTTTTAAATTACCTTTAGATATTTAGTTTGAAAAGTAACTAAAGTACGTAATAAATTTTTAGTTTGTTCATTCTGAAGTGTAATTACATTACCACGTGTGATAGAAGTACCTAACACTTTATATAGGTAGAATTATAGTCTAAGCCGCAAGATATATAAACTTGCATAATCCAAACTGGGTGAACGTATTGTGCGTCGGCACAAATAGGCTTCACATTTGCCCATGTTGTCTATTAGACCATGTTGCCCATTTGTGCCGTGAAGTTACCGGGTAATCGTTATACAATAATTCGATCTGATGTCTGAAGATGGGTGCATGGTTTCAGGTTGTGATATCAAGGACTGCAATAACCACACGAGTTGACCCGTGAGCCCATTTACAAAGATACAGCAAAAAATATATCAGGTATCGCTTGGTATTAAAAAAATGTACATTAAATTTTAACGCAGCTTTGACGTACGGGGGCGTTCATTCAACAAAGCTCTACAATGGTCGGATCCTGGCGCTTTCGGACCACGAGCTTACTTCGCAACTGTCGCTCGACCGGCGGCCCTGACCTTGACCTCCGTGCAACTTGACGATGAAGGCGTATACCGATGCAGAGTAGACTTCAAGAATTCACCCACGAGAAATTTTCAAATACGGCTGACAGTTATCGGTGAGATAATTTAAAATGTTCCTCTGAAAGGCGACTTTAAAAGTACATTAATTTCTTGACAAATTCAAACATTAATTATGAGCGGTGATAAAGAATCAATTTAATGATTAAGGACGAAACGCGAGCCACCGCGGCCAGCAACTGATGACATCGCGCAGACATTTTAATTATGAACTGTCGACTCGGGATCTCCGAGGTTGCTCAACTGCTGATAAAACGACATTCCGCAGTGCCGCCTCCGCGATGGCCCAGATAAAATCTGCAGGAGACGAGCTAAATTTAAAAGGAAATTAGATTTGAATACATCAAATTGTTTCGACATTATTAATCGAGCGATAACCTTAATTCATTTTCCATCGAAGATAAGTGTGTTTTAGACGAAGATGAAATTTGAAAATTGCCCACCCAATTTAGACGATTGATTTGGATTCGAAACGCTGATGCAAATTTTCTTTACGATTTTTTTAAATTTTTTTTATTACTTAGATAGGTGGACGAGCTCACAGCCCACCTGGTGTCAAGTAGTTACCGAAGCCCATAGACATCTACAACGTAAATGCCGCCACCCACCTTGAGATATAAGTTCTAAGGTCTCAGTATAGTTACAGTTACAGTATAGTTAGGTTTCGTTTTATTTCAAAAAATATATAACTTTATGTCATCGCCGTGTCTTTATGTTCATATAATTACTCTAATAGGCTTATTCTGTAGCGTTACGACTCCGCGTACTCGGATGAATTCAGCCAGTGAACATAAAAACATAAAGAGCCGGCCTATAAAATACGAGTAAACTAGAACTGAGCTTTTCAAAGGAATTACCTTGTTCAACGCGTCGAAAAACGTAGCGTAAGACGGGCGACGTAAATCCCTTTTTCTCAGAACAAAAGCATTTAAAAAAAATCCTACATCACCATACATGCAACTCCATTGAAATCCATTAGTCTGCTCGCACCGAGAGGTAATTTGCGAAGCCTTTTGTTAAACCAAAGGGACTGTTCATATAAAGAACTCTTACTTACAATAATAATCAAGCGTATTCACAGCGAAATAAAATGCCAATTAAGAAACGAGGCTATTCATGACAGAAATTGTTAAGATTTACTCTATTTTTTATTTTAAAATCAACGTTTTCGAGTAATATTTGAATAAATTTTGTTATTAAATTATGCAATTTCGAAAATAGGATTCACGTAATATACACAATTAAAAACGCCGTTAATAGTAATAAATTTATTAATCTAGCTAAATTAATTTATCTAGTTACAAAATAACCAAGAAATTGCGAAATGTTTTTTATTCAATTGTTTAAAATTTGTGCTCATCGTTATTTATTTTTTTAGTGCCTCCTCATCAAATGTTATTGTATGACAAGTCAGGAGCTGATGTGTCTGGAGTCGTAGGACCTTTGGAAGAAGGTGCAGCCTTAGTTCTGATCTGCGAAGTACGCGGAGGTTAGTAGATTTATTTATATTTCAACATTGAAACGTTGCTACGTGAAAGTGTTAATAATTTACATAATGGAACTTGTATTCTGTTAAGTTTTGTTTGAACTATGTATTCTTAAGCTATAGCTATACTTTATTTCTTATTTATTAAATACTAGCTGACCCGGTAGACTTCGTAGTGCCTCAGTCGATAAATAAAAAACCTAAACTTTTGTATAAAATAAACATAAAACAAGCAAAAGGAATCCTTCCGACACATCAAAGGAAAAACAAAATTGTTATTTTTATTGAATTCCAGGTATTTTCCACAAATAATTCAAGACCAAAATTAGCCAAATCGGTCCAGCCGTTCTCGAGTTTTAGCGAGACTAACGAACAGCAATTCATTTTTATATATATAGAATTAAATATCCGACGGAGAAATTGTACTGACGAATCGACGGACACGTATTGTGTACCGTTCAGGTCATTGCTCAAAAGTTTCATTTCGCTATAAGACTTCACTCCAATTCTACGTAGCTGTACACTGCACGTATATATACCATGTTCGTCTCGTTTTATTTTCAAAATATTACAGTGGAGTAGACATATTATTATGCAGAACGTATTCTTGTGCGACTCTAAAAATATAAAAACGAATGCATTGTGACGATCGCATTGAAAAATTTTCCTGAGTGCTTGGTTCGGAGGAGTAGTTTTCGTTCAATTTATTTCGATTTTAAGCTCCCTAAAAAAAAGAAGAGTAAATATGACAATTTGGAGTTCAGTAAAAAATTTCTATTGCTTGATTTCTTTTATGGAAACATTGGAAGAGATATTCCGTCCGAATGGGTTCATTGAAAAGTCCGCAGTATGGCCGGCTGGCGACGAGCCAGTACGCGGCCGGATTATCTTCGGCTGTGTGCCCACCAATTGTGATGATGCAGCGGAGCGGACAGTAGGGAATTTAGGTTTTGACCCCGTTATCAGACATACTTAATTATTTTGCTCAAAAATGTCTGGCGCGCCATAAAAAGCGCTTAAAAAAATTTCGGGTAAATTCATTTTCATGAGCGGTAATGTCGGACCTTTTGTGACAGATAAGTAAGTACCTGTGTGTCATTTTTTACGTTTTAATCTGTTTAGTTTCGGTATTCAACGTTGAAGCACAAAAACGGCTCCAAAAATTCTAAAACGTAACGTAATAATAATTTCGATGCCATTAAAGCCGTATTAGCCGTAAGCATCACTTGGATGCAGCTATCCGAGTCCTGCAGGTGTAATAAACGTTCTTTTTAGTTCTGTTATGGCGAGAGCTAATCGCGTAAAATTTGTAGCGTCATGATGGCAAGATAAGCCCTCGATATTTCCTCCAAAGGATAAAACGGTAGTTATGTGTGATTCTAACGCTGTTAACGTCTCATTGTCTCTCCTGGGAGTATTAAAGTCACATAAAAGGTATTCGGGGTCCGAAAATATGTTCGGTAGAATTGACTATAAGGTTTCTTAAAATTTTATTGATTTATCATCACACTATGAAGAAATAGTACGAACATATAATATGTCTTGAATTATATAAAATTGTTGTCTTAGAATTTTAATAATTATTATGTATTGGTAGTAATTTTGCGGTAGACATTAAGATGACGCGGTGAAAAATAGCATGGGCATATTATATACAAAATATTAAATTAAAAATAAAAGATTATGTCCAGAAATGTAATTTTAAAAGGATGTAAAGCGTTATTTGATGCGATTCGTTATTAAAATATATGCGAACTGTGAAACACGCATAATTCATTCATTTAAGCAAATCTTGAGGGTCTACTTCATAAGCCTGCGAGACGGTGATTTCTTGTACTTCCTACTTCCTGATTCATGTTACATTAATTGCATTGATTTCATACTAATTGTAATACGAGGTTGAATCCAAATTTATTGCTACGAAAAAGGCAAGAAAAGTATTTTCAGATGTTAACAGCCCTAAAACTTATCTTTGTTTCGGAAGGCNTCATTTAAGCAAATCTTGAGGGTCTACTTCATAAGCCTGCGAGACGGTGATTTCTTGTACTTCCTACTTCCTGATTCATGTTACATTAATTGCATTGATTTCATACTAATTGTAATACGAGGTTGAATCCAAATTTATTGCTACGAAAAAGGCAAGAAAAGTATTTTCAGATGTTAACAGCCCTAAAACTTATCTTTGTTTCGGAAGGCAACGTTTTCGTGTATTGTGGATGTAAAATAATTAACTGATAGCTTATACAGGGAAACGTAGGGCAAAAACTTGTATCAAACGAAGACTAAAATGAGAAAATAAATTTTTTATTTTTTTTATTACACTTCATGTAAAATTTACATTGGCGGACTTAATGCTTAAGGCATTCTCTATCAGTCAATCAAAGGTAGTGCAGAGTAAATAGTGGTAGGTGCAATGAAATTTATATTAAGTTACGAATACATACACACCAAAAAGCATAAAATAATATTTAATATTATTTTTCATATAAAGGTCGTCCAGAGCCGCTTGTTTCTTGGTGGATAAACGGCGTACCGGCTCCTCAATACATTGGTATCAAAACCGATACTCACGTGGTGGTGAACAGGCTCGAACACCAAAATTTGAAACGAGATGATCTGAACACGACCTTCAAATGTAGAGCTACAAATACTAATTTGGTTCCACCTCAAGAGAAAGTTGTAAGGCTCGAACTAAATCGTGAGTATTATAAATCGAACAACTTTTTATTATTGTTTGAATTCAGATTAATCATTGTTGAGCACGTTTTAAATATAAACGAAATTATTTTAATTTATTTTTATCACATACCATAATGTAAACCATAGCTGATGTATAACGTGAATGCCGCTACACACCTTGAGACATGAGACATTAACCGGACGAAGGGCTCGACGAGCGAACTGACCCATAGACACAGCCCACTGAATTTCTCGCCAGATCTTCTCAGTGGGTCGCGTTTCCGATCCGGTGGTAAATTCTGCGAAGCACTGCTCATGCTAGGGCCAGTGTTAGCCACACTTTCGGTTTAAGCCCCGTGAGCCCACCTACTAGTTAGGGCGAAGCTGAAATAGCCTCTCAAGGCTATCAGCATAGGTAAACATAAAAAAAAGACATTAAGTTTTAATTATCTAGTATTGTCTAGCTGTCTTATGGTTCGAAACGGACCGATTTACTACTTGGCCATATAAATGGATATAGTTGTGATAACTTACCTGTGGAATACAACTCAAAGATATACCGTCTCTTTACCCTCAAATTCGTTCCGGTTTCGTTCTCATAATGTTTCAGAAATGGAATAATCCAAACCGTAAATTATTTTTACATTATGCCGTAGATTTGATTGTAGGTCTGCAAAAGTTGGTACGACAATTCTGCCTATTTCTAAGAAAAGCTTATATTTCAGTTTGAGCGTTTTCATGGCTGTTGTTTCGCATAGTTCCGATGCGCTTGGAAAAGCCTCTTGCCTGGCATTTGTATTTTGATGCGGGGTACGGGTGGCCACTTAACACCAAGTGAGCCTTAAACTGGTCTCCTCTAAATAGAAAAGACCTCGACCATCGCGTGCGAATAAATCCTGTGCTTTCAATTAAGTGCACGGAAATTATTAAAAAATAATTACACACATTTTTAGTGAAACTAATTATTATTCGAACACTTTCGTTTTGCGTATTTTGTTATTTCCCTAAACACAAAATGTTATTGTTCCGTTTAGCATACCGTAATTAAGCCCGAAACGTATCTAATTACTCGCAGCATTTTTTTACATTTCTCGTCCAAATATTTCATTGTTGAACTGATTCGAGTAGACGAAAAGGGTATTGAAAGGATTTACTATGGTATTAATTTCAACAATACGATTTAATGGCCTGACAAAAAAAAGTGTTTTTTTAATAATCTCTTTTGCACGCCATTTTTATTATACTGAGCATTTGTACGTTAAAATGACAATAGTATTTTATTTAGAAAAGTTCGCTTAATATTCTGAAAGTCAACTGCTTACATAGGTCGAGCACAATGCCTATTGTGCGATGTTTAATTTTACAGAAAATAAATCACTTAAAGTTTTTTGACTGAATAATGAAGAAAATATTAAAAATTCACATTTTGTCTTCCAACATTAAAAAAAAATTAACATTGTCGAAAGCAGCTAATGGTATAAAAACTGTGGTCTTGTAAGCCTTTTGAAAGATACGTGTGGAACGTACGACTTTCAGAAGGAAACCACTTACGTGTCCCACCTTTTTTTTTCTTTTTCTACCTATGCTGATAGCCTTATAGCCTTGAGAGGCTATTTCAGCTTCGCCCTAACGTGTCAGTGAGCTCACGGGGCCCAAACCGGAGTGTTGCTAACACTGGCGCTAGCGAGAGCAGTGCTTCGCAGAATCTACCACCGGATCGGAAACGCGACCCACTGAGAGGATCCGGCGAGAAACTAAGTGGGCTGTGTCTATGGGTTAATTCGCTCATCGAGCCCCTCGTCACAAGCGTTCGACGAGGGCGGTGACCGGCGTGCCCCACCAATTTCTTTACTTAGTATTAGTAAAAAATGTTTCTAACTGTTTCTCAGTGTCTCCGCTTTCCGTTTCTTTGCTGAACCGACCGCAGCAGTTGTTAGCCGGCTCAGCTGCGACCATACGATGCGTATCCGAAGGCAGCCGACCTCCAGCACAGATCTCATGGTTTAAAGACAACAGGAGTTTTTCAAAAAACATGGTAAGCCATATTTGATCGGCATTCAATTAAAATAAATATCGGACGTAGAATGGACAAAGACATTAAGCACTTTTTTATAAGCAACTTCTAAGATACTTTGAGGAATCAATTTTTTTTTATTGCTTAGATGGGTGGACGAGCTCACAGCCCACCTGGTGTTAAGTGGTCACTGGAGCCCATAGACATCTACAGCGTAAATGCCCCACCCATCTTGAGAAATAAGTTCTAAGATCTCAGTATAGTTACAACGGCTGCCCCACCTTTCAAGCCGAAACGCATTACTTACTGCTTCACGGAAGAAATAGGCAGGATGGTGGTTATAGGTGGTTAATAATATAAATATAGTTATTGTAAGTAAAATAAAATAAAAAAACATATTTTTTTACCATTAGCTATTTCATTATCAAATTTTCAATTAGCACAAGAATTTAACGCAAATTTTTTGATTTATCCCAATTATAGTTTCTTGAATTTATTTGTTGCGAACAGTCGTCATGGCCCAAAGGATAAGACGTCAGGTGCATTCGTATCAAGCGATGCAAATGTGCCGGAATTCCAATTCCGCAGGAACGATTGGCTTCAACAGTGAAGGAATAGCATCGTATAATAAAAAACAAACCCGGAAAAAATATATTTTGCATAATTACGGGTGGTAGGATGTCTTGTGGGTCCGAACGATTAGAAACCACCGCCCTGCCTAGCTCTGTCGTGAAGCAGTGATGCGTTTCGGTTTGACGGGTAGGGCAACCGATTTACTTTAAAAAAAACTGAGGTATTTACATTCTTAATGTCTATGGGCTCGGGTAATCATTTAACACCAGGTAGGCCATGAGCTCGTCCAACCATCTAAGCAATAAAAAAACAACAAATATCATCATATAATATCATATATCCTCAAATACAATCATATTCAAATAAACGATAGTATTGTTGTATATATTTTCTATCTGTATCTGATTCTCCGAGTGAGGTGATTTCATGCGATAGGTAAACCTAAATTGGCTGCCATGCTGAAGCTAAGCACTGTGGCTTTTGTATTGATTGTTGTGTTTTAAGCTGTACGGACTTTCATTGACTCCGATTCAGTTGCTTAATTGCTGAACATCTATCCTACTGTCAAATGTGGCTTAGGGTTAGGTACGCTTTAAAGATTTCGATCTATCTGTGGAGAGTTTTCTTTTAATGGATCTAGTTCTTTTTTTTATATTTATTGCTTAGATGAGCTCACAACTTACCTGGTGTTAAGTAGTTACTGAAGCCCATGGACATCTACAACGTAAATGCGCCACCCACCTTGAAATATAAGTACTAAGGTCTCAGTATATTTACAACGGCTACATCACCCTTAAAACCGAAACGCATTACTGCTTCACGGCAGAAATGGGCGGGATGGTGGTACTTACCCGTGCGGACTCACCAGAGGTACCACCAGTAATTACGCAAATTGTAATTTTGCGGGTTCTGTAAGAGAGTTCTGTAAGAATATAAAGTTGGTGTGGTAAGGTCAGGTCTAAGCTTGCGTGGATAGGTACCGTCACGACGAGGATACGGCCCCCTGCTTGTGGCTTGTTTTTCGCTCATGGAAGCTCTTGCTAGGGGCACAATCAAGCCGCCACTTAACACTAGTGCTCTCCTCAAATCTCGATCAAGGGAGCACAGGTCGTAGTGCTCAGGAAACACCATGGAGAAAAGTTCATTCGAAGTTAGATTGTATTTGGCAAAAAATATCTCTGCAAACGCACATGGATGAATGCAGTAATTCATGTTAGTATGGATGAGCGGTGAATAGGCGGTCAAATAATTTGCATCTGTAACTACTCCCGGTAATTTTCTTTTTTTTTTATTTCTTACATGGTTGGACAAGCCCACAGCTCACCTGGTGTTAAGTGGTTACTGGAGCCCATAGACATCTACAACGTAAATGCGCCACCCACCTTGAGATATAAGTTCTAAAGTCTCAGTATAGTTACAACGGCTGCCCCACCCCTTAAACCTTCTTTTGGGTCTACATAGTGTTGCATACTTTAAGCTAGCTTAGTTCAATACAATTTGGTTTTAGGGCTTTTACTGTACTTTAGTCATTTGCTATTCAGCAGCTACTAGAGCCCATGGATATCACAACAGGAATACTTCCTCCTATCTTGAGACATGAAATCGAAACATCAACGCCATTAATTTTTGCTTCAGTGATACGTTTTGTTTTACTTGACTTGGCTTTCTCTACTCTTTCTCACAGATATCGGATCACTCAAATGAAACGTGGTCACTCAGTGCGTTAGTGTTCACTCCAGCGCCTACGGATCACGGAACTACAATCAAATGCGTCGCAGCGAACCCTAGCCTACCTACTAAGACTATCAACGATCAGCTACTGCTTANTTCTCACAGATATCGGATCACTCAAATGAAACGTGGTCACTCAGTGCGTTAGTGTTCACTCCAGCGCCTACGGATCACGGAACTACAATCAAATGCGTCGCAGCGAACCCTAGCCTACCTACTAAGACTATCAACGATCAGCTACTGCTTAATGTTGTATGTAAGTATGAAATATTACTACTATAATTAAAAATTCTTGTATTTTTTCCCTACCTATGCTGATATCCTTGAGAGGCTATATCAGCTTCGCCCTAACGTGTAGGTGAGCTCACGGGGCTCAAACCGGAGTGTTGCTAACACTGGCCCGTTTTTTTTTTTTTTTTTTTCCACTGGCGCTAGCCAGAGCAGTGCTTCGCAGAATCTACCACCGGATCGGAAACGCGACCCACTGAAAAGATCCGGCGAGAAACTCAGTGGGCTATGTCTGTGGGTTAGTTCGCTCGTCGAGCCCTTCGTTGCAAGCGACGGGTTCGACGAGGACGGTGACCGGTGCTTGTGATACCTAAAAGTTCTTGCTAGTTAACTTTGATAAGCTGTTAAAATGATGAAAGATAATAAAAGCTAATCACGAGCTTATATTATTTTGATCTTAATAAAACTCATAATAAAGTTATTAAAGGAGGCCACGACCCTCAGCATTTGGGGTTAGCGACGCAAGGAGAAGGGAGGAATTGATAAACAGTCTTTTATTTAATTATGACAGATAGTCCCCTGGTGATCCTGACTTTGGGCAGCACTCTCAACCCAGACGACATCAAAGAAGGGGACGACGTTTACTTCGAGTGCAATGTCCGAGCGAATCCTCGGGAGCATCGAATATCATGGTACCACAATGTAAGTTAATTTTGGTCAAGCTTTAAACAACCGAATTGCTCTGTATGTAAATAAATTTTATTCAGTAATGAAAGCATTAAAAATATGGGACAGAGATGTCGTGCTGTGCTAGTTCAGAACGCATTGTCGAAACATCAGTGTGCCTGAAGACTGAATCGAGCGGACCGGCTCACTTAACGTTTACGTCACTGACGCATTGTATTAAGAAATTAATTACTGTGTTGTTTAATTGAAAATTTAATATAAAACATTCAAACTTAACTAAAACATGTTCATGTTCTTGTGGCCCATAATTTGCAGATCTTATGAAGTCAAATGTTATTAGTTACTAGCCGTACTCACCCGCTTCGCTGGGCATTTAAAGTTAACATTAATATTTATTGTCCTTATTATTAGGGAGTCCAACACTCATATAAATAATAGCTTATCCATTAAGTACATGTATTTTCTAGATGGATACCAAGTTTCAAGTCAATCTGATGCATGGTTCAGCAGTTTTAACGGAACATCCGTAAAAACCACTAGATTTATATATTAGTATAGATAGATTAAGTAAACTAATTACGATGTATGTAAATAATACTTACGGGTGCGTATGAACGGGTGCCTATTAGAATATTGAAGATGACATTGTCATGAAAGACGGTTGCTTGTAGAAAAATAACATTCTAGATCTTTTTAAACATTCAGTATTATTTCATAACGTTAGATTAATTTAGGACAGGCCGGTGATGCAGAACATGTCTTCGGGTATCATCGTGAGTACGCGGTCTCTGGTTCTGCAGAAGGTTACGAGAGGAGAAGCCGGCGCCTATACTTGCAAAGCGGCTAATTCGAGAGGCGAAAGTTCCAGTCAGGCTGTTAAATTGAGAGTGCAATGTAAGTACGTATGTACTTCTATGTCTGATTCAGTTAATGTCCAGCATTATATCGATTGTAAATTGATTTAAAGGCGGTAATCCAGTGACTTGCGTCACCGTTCACTTTGCTTTTCATGTCTGGGTCGCTACGTTCTTTTATGCTAATCCCACAAAATCAGTATGGCGCAATTTTGAAAGTGGCACCTGTGACAGAGAATTTGAGAAGCGCGGCTTTGGACATGTGATGAGACGAAATAACAATGAGGCTGTTAAGAGAGTTTTAACTATGAATGTAGAAGACTTTAGAGGAAGAGGTAGACCTAAGAAAAAATTGATGAATTGCGTGAAAGACTATAATAATATGTGTAAGAAAGGAGTGAGCGAGAAATGGTTTAAGATATTTGATGATTTAAGAGGAGTATGTAAAGAGAAAACATGTTGCGCCGACTCCTGAGACCCGACCCGGTAACTGGAAGAAGGGCAAGAGAATGATGATGATCATGCTGGTGGTAGGACCTCTTGTGAGTGCGCATGGGTAGGTACCACCGCCCCGCCTGTTTCTACCGTGAAGCAGTAATGCGTTTCGGTTGGAAGGCGGGGCAGCCATTGTAACTATACTTGAGACCTTAGAACTTATATCTCAAGGTGGGCGGTGCATTTACGTTGTAGATGTCTATGGGCTCCAGTAACCACTTAACACCAGGTGGGCTGTGAGCTCGTCCAACTGTCTAAGCAATGAAGCAAAAAAAATGCTGCTATTAATTAATAGGACGAACAGACTGGCTAATAGGACGATCAGACTGGCTTAGAATACCCGTACCATTAGCTTACTAACGAGCAATAAGAATTATTGAATAATAACTGATATGGCCAAGAAAAAAAATTAAAATTTAATAGTACATAAATATTCATAATTGTAAATGTCCAATCAAAGGTCCAGGACTTTTTGTATTGAAAATCATAATAATATTACAGTAACGCCTTGAAGGCGTACCAAGAAATTTTGTTCTGAGTTCATCATGATTCAAATAGAATATTAAGTATCTTTCATAGGAAACATAAAGACGTCATTAGTAAAAGAGTAAAATGATATGAATAAAAATCCCTTTGACGATATTTCTGGTATCCACACTGGTATCCAATATTATTTTATCTGCGAGATTACATATTTGAATCAGTTTCAAATATGTAATCTCTGAACTGAATCTCATGGAATCTTATAAAAAAAATTCAATATCAAAAACAGTGTTGGTAGGTGGAATTAATATCCTCCTTTTCAAAGAAAAAACAGGAAAAGTTCGACCAGCTATGGCTTACGGATTTGTATTCCATGAAAATTAAAATGTTGCGTTGGACAGAATGTGGAACATGGATATATGTACTCGTAATCTGAAATGATCACGGTCGTTGCATTCACGTAGTGATGTCCATGAACACCGATAATCTATTGTATCTGTGAACTGTGAGCCTGTTCATCCATATATGAAATTATAAATTCAAAAAGTACTTATAAAATGAAAAATTTTAAAGGCTCTTGCCGCTTGGACTGTCTTATTTTAGACGCTGCAGAGATGCCGTCAAACACAGTCATAGTGGCTTCGACAAACAATATATCGTTCTACTCTTTTTAACTAGAATGCTTTTTTTGTTTATTAATTTTTTTTTTCATGTAAATCACCTGAAATGGCTCGTTGGTTTAGATTAAACCCTTTATATAATATACATATTTACCACACGCGCGGGTAGCCTAATGGGTTATGGACGTGTGGTAAGCTCACGGGGTCAACCTGAAAGAATTTGCAAACACTAACCCTAGCAAGAGCAGGGTATCGCAGAATCTACCACCGGATCAGAATCGCGACAAACTGAGACATCGTAAAGGAACTCAGTGGGATAACCTAACCCTGATTAATAACCATGCCCCAATTTGGGACCGATTATAAAGAAATGATTTAATTTATCTTCAAACAGTCCTCTTAAAACAAGTATCAAACCTGTCCTCGAAACATCAAAGACTTGAAACTATGGTTCACTCGGAAACCCAAAACATTATACACATTACCCAAATTCAAATTTTATCCCGACACAAACGTAAACAAAACCGTATCTTTACGGCTTACAGTACAAACTTGTAATTATAACAGTCAGTATTCAGTTAATTTGCATGTCCCTAATCCTTCTGTAACGACACCGGACGCAGGCATCCCATAAAACGTCAACACGAGAGGTATGAGTTACTGCCCTATAAATTCTGACGTGTCTACGAAGTAGTATTCAAATGATTGCGGTCGGGATCGACGCACCGACTTCCTTCCGCAGCCGACCGGCCGCATAGTAATTGGTAAGGGAACAGTACAAGCGGTAAATCATCAAAATTATTGCCTAATATTATTACTGCGATTCTGTTGGAGCCTTGGAGCCTTCGCAATCTGTTGTTCGGCGGCTTCGATTTAATTCGTACAGCTTTGTTTTAGTTCGAAACTGTAGAATAAATTTCGTTCCCCAAAGCCTTCTAGTTACGTTTAGTAGAATTGGAATTTTCGAATTATTATTTCGTTGTAAGAAAATTTTGAATTCTCGTTACCGAATAAGCTTTGCTTTTAACGAAATTTATTCAATTCGAACATAATTTCTGTTTAAATAATCTACATTCAGAATAATCACAAGTCGGAATAAGTAATTCGGGGTAATGATGTTTGGGGCCAGTAATTACCTGTCGTGTAAATTATTTGATAATGGTTTAGTATGCTATTTTATAACAGTTGTAAAATAATCGTAATTTAAAATTAAATAGTTTAATGCATGGCACATTAAACCATTTACGTTAATTCTACAATTTAGTTTAATTTTAAAACAAAATTTGATAGCATATTAGGTGTTGGTCCATATGTATTTTAGTATTAGAGGTCCCGCAGTAGTCGAAATTCGACTATAATTGGAATTGTAAGTTTGTACAACATTATGATTGTATTTTATACTTCTATAATAACAAATTTCGCCAAGACTACACTATAAAAATATTAATAAAGACAAACAATATTTAATCTATTCTCAATTTGACCACAGACGTCAAGAACAATAGTTTAACAATAAATAGTATGCATGCGTGTGTACGTCAAATACATGGTATGTAGTGTGTGTAATATTTTCTTTATTGATTTAATGTATCTTTTATGCATTATTTAAAAAAAATATGAGCATTGTGCACTTCTTCTCTATATTCTCTATAAGTATCGAAAATTTCATATTCCTCCGTCCGCATAATTTTCGTAAAAAGGGATACAAAGTTTTCGCTTCACGTATTAATATAAAGATGAATTTTGAATGAATTAATTTAATTTCCAAATAAAGTCGTTAAGGTTAAAATAAATTTTACAAACTGTTAAAAGTTTTTTAATCTATTCTATAGTCACGTTCGATATTTGGTAAAATAAGATCAAATTAAACGAATTCATTACGTGATTTCGAAAATTAAAAGCTTTATGGAAACTTTAATACAAATTTCAGCAAAGCTATGAATGGCGATTATATTTTTTGTAATAGCTGGTACAGCTTTGTGTTCGAGTACATCCTTTAAATTCCGGCGAAATGTACACCTATTAAATTTCTATTGTGTTATTAAACTCCATATTGTTTTTATGATCTTACTAGGATGCATGCCTGCATGATTTTTGGTATATTTCTGTCTGTCTATTTGGTATTGAAGTAGTACCATTGTTAATAAAACAAGATACGTTCCGAATTTCATATTGGCAATGCCAATAGGCCTCCTCTTAAAACTATTGTAACATACAGATTGACATCGTTACTAGAGCTCCCCGATATCGAATACAAAATCCTTAAAGTAAGGGTTTCGCTTATTGGAATGGGAAGCAAAAAAATATCTAATATGATTTTCAATCTTTGTTTTTGGTTATCATTAAAATCTTCTTTTTTTAATTTTTGATTTTTTAATTTTACTTCCTTTCCTAAAACTATAAATTTTGACTTAAAATGTTTACTGACGTATACTATTAGATTAACTCAAAGCCCATCTACAGTATATGTGAGTCACTGGGGGTACTTTCCGAACACGTTGCAAAAATAGTAAATTACTGTAGAAAAAAATGCTTAAAAAGAGTTTGGAAATAAGTAGATCATCGGAGTCATCGGGGCACGGAACAGGCCTTGGAGCGAAGCATATGTCCGGGCATATATATATATTTTTCTCTTCCATTCTCTTCTATCTGCCGTTATCTCAACACTCACCCCTCTCTCTCTCTCTCTCATATCGTCATTCACACACTCCATCCATGTTTTCTTCGGTCGACCTCTTCCCCCTCTACCTTGCACTACCATTCCCATACATCTCCTATTCACATGCATCTTCTCTCTATGCATTACATGTCCATACCATCCATATAATATAAATTTAAGAATTTTATTTACTTCGTTATGAAATAATCGATATGTAAAATAGTTTTATTTTATTTTACTTAGATGCTCCGGTTTGCTCTGAACCATCTCCTCAAGTAGTAGGGGCCGCAATAGATGAGGCTTTACAAGTTCGATGCGCGGTCCACGCGGACCCTTCAGACGTAACTTTCTTATGGCAATTCAACAATAGCGGAGAGAGTTTCGACGTTTCTCCAGCTAGATATGGTACGTAGTATATTGTATTTCTTTTTAGAGTTTACTTCTTAAATATCGATTTCGTTTATAAAACCTTTTTGGAAAATTTTTGTACCACGTACGAAAATTTTGTGGGTAATAAAATCGATATAAAATATATATATACCGAATAATTACAATAAATACGTTTATTTGCCCTCGTTAACTATTATATAGTTAATGACAATCGGACTTCAAGAGTAAACTCCAGTCGTGTATCGAACCTGAAAATCACTCTTTCTAATACTCTATAGTAAGAACTATTTTAAGATCCAACATGGATTAATATTATAATATATATCTCAAGTAAGGTGAGTTTTCATTAGCTCTTTTTTACTGCTATAGATGGGCACAGACTTACTTTGTATTAAGTATGTATTAAGCATGGAGCTCTTATACAAATATCACAACGTACATAACTATGTTAGCTTCAGTAAAATTTTAAACCTCAATTATGACTGCTTTGTATAATATGGATAGCTTTAAGTAGTGTTCTGCGACTAAATAAGACCTTAGCAACACGAATTCTACTTACCTTTACACTATGAGATAGAAATATCCTTTTTTTATAATTGCATTGTACAAAAATGTGGCATTTGATTTCTTTGGCGCACAAAGAACAAGGTGGAATGACCAATATGTTCTGGCTTCCAACGTGCCAATTAATATGTGAATTATGTGTTCAATATCTGTAATATTTTAGATTACATTGCATCATTTCTCGACTTCAGATTATGTTTTGATTAAAATAAATATATACATACAAAATAGGCTGTAATATTAATGTATTATTATTTCAAATAAGAGACATTTCATATAAGAAACAGGTTTCGGCTTAGCAGTAAAATAAACTTGTTTCAATGTTGTTGTAAAAGGTACAATCAACAGCAGTGTAAGTGAGCTTCGGTACAGGCCATCAAGTGAAAGGGATTATGGAGCTCTAACATGCAGTGGTATTAACACAGTAGGTCGGCAAACACAGCCCTGCGTTTTCCAAATTGTTCCAGCTGGTAAGTACATTGCTATAAATAGAATACATAGATATAGATATAAAATTATGTGTGAAAGATGAATCTGAGAGTCAATTAAGCCTCAAGATAATTTTAATTCGTTCTCTTTGCTTAGAAACTTTTTTTTAAAACAATATTTAACTGTTGACGAATAATAATACCCTATCAGATTATGTTATTCGTCCGTGACCTCAAAAACTGATCGAATCGAATGATATCTAATGATAAAATAAAAACAATCAATATCTGTATAAGAAACGCGAATTTAAATAGTAAAAGAAGTTTTAATTGTGTCTATGATATACGAAATAAAAAAAAATACAACATTACCAAACAAGAAAACATCATCCTTTATAATATTGTGGTCAATGAACACCACATATAAGACAGAATTTATAGCCCCCAGAGATATAGAATACGAACTTTCTTCAAACACTTAAAAACAAGTTATTCACTTAGCTGACGCCAAAATGACGCGTGTCCAACTTCAAGAATAGTTTTGGTCTAGAGAGAGATTTATTCGCTTAAGTTCTTCGAGTTGTTTATCTAGTTTTTTTTTTCTTTATTTACTGAGATTAGAGGAATTGCGTTTTTCAAATTCCTCTTTCAAATTTCATGTTTAATCTTACTTTTTAATATGTAAAATAATTTTTCTTTGGCTAATTGGTTGTAACGATAATTATAGCTCTTATATAGATAGAAATGGAATTAAATAAATTAGTATGATAAATAAGTTGGATAGCTGCATGCCGGTTACTTTCGTCGTGAGTTCACTGTACACGAAATATGAACTAGATAAAACAATATTTATTCATGTTCCACTTAGAAAATCCACACTACCCATTTAGGTTTATATTATATGAATCTGAATACTCGGGAATGGTTTCTTTGTCCCTTGTACATATAATGTAGTATCTCTTTTATTATTTTGGTGCTTTTTCTTGTAATTGTAGGGAAATGCTTAAGTTTTTCTCAAAATATTGTTGTTGATAACCCTAAAACCCGATAGTATCTATTTATTTAACAAAAAAAGTTACGGTAGAGATTGTAATGTATGGACACCAACTATATATATTAACATCCATGCCATATATAAAACTACAAAACAAATGTATTTTTACAAAACAGCTCGCCCCTCACCTCCAAAGAATTGCACAGTAACGTCTAGTAACAATTCGACTTGGCTGGAAGACTCCAAAGAAGAAACGGAAGATTTTCTGATTGTGCGATGTGTGACCGGCTATGACGGCGGTCTTCCACAACTGGTTGTACTGGAAGCGGTTGATTCTGACAGTGGAACTGTTAGATTCAATGTAACTGCCAATGAAACAGGTAAGCGAATGCTACCAATATTAAATGCCAATATGAGTATCTTTACAAAACTGTCATGCCTTTGAGAGGTAGATGACCTTTTACTGTTAAATAGTTGTAGAATCCCACAGGCACGATAAAGTGATACCGTTGCCAACATTTAGGTCAAAATCTCGATTTAATATTTAACATCTGTCCCGTCCTTGCTATGCACGATTGCTTTAAGTGGTTAGGTACCTGAGCGTCCTCAAAATATACCCTACCAAAGTCAGCTTAAAACGCGATAATTTTGATTAAAATTTTACATCATATTTTAGACCATAACAAAATAAAATTTTCGATAAATTATGATATTCTCAAGTAGTACTCAAAAAGCAATTTAAATCACTTGTTAAAATAGGTAAATAATTATTTACCAAAATGCTGCAAACGTGATATTAATTCAATAGTATATTCAGATGGAGTTGCCTTCTTCTCGGTGCCTTCAGGAGTTTTGTGGTCGAGTAGAAATGCTTTAAGACTCACTGTACATTCTAGAAACGATAAAGGATCCTCTGAACGTATTTTGCTTCAAGCACTCACTTATCAAGGACCGGAAAGGAGAACAGGTGCGTACTAAGACGCGTGTAGTTTCTTGTTTATTAACAAGTTATAGTCTCAAAATGTTCATGTGATATGTACTTTAGATAAAATTAGGATTTCGATTTCACGTCACTAAGGCAAAATATTTTTTTTATTTATAGCTTACATGGTTGTACGAGCTCAAAGGCCAGTTGGTTTTTTTTATTTTTATTGCTTAGATGTGTGGACGAGCTCACAGCCCACCTGGTGTTAAGTGGTTACTGGAGCCCATAGACATCTACAGCGTAAATGCGCCACACACCTTGAGATATAAGTTCTAAGATCTCAATATAGTTACAACGGCTGCCCCGCCCTTCAAACCGAAGCGCATTACTGCTTCAGGGCAGAAATAGGCAGGGTGGTGGTACCTACCCGCGCGGACTCACAAGAGGTCCTACCACCTTGCTTAGAGGTATTAATAAAATATGTCCGTGCTATAATAAATGTTTGTGACAATGTAAATGACACAAATTCACTACGGCTGGTCATTATTTTGAGTGATTGAGTACCTGGTTACAACAACTTCAAGCCATAGACCTAGGTTTCCTACTTTAGTGCTTCAAGCCCTTGATTTGCTAATGTCAATCAATAAAATAAAAGACAAACAAATTTAAATGAAAACATAAAAATAGGGAAATTTAAATTGATTTTTTAACTCGTTAGCTACTCAATGAAAATGTTCCATCATTACGAACTGTGATTACGCGGAAACTAATCACACGTCTCTCGGGGCCTATTGTGTAATTGACTGCTGATAGATAGACAATAAGTAGACCAATCTGCTAGACGGTTTGACGTAAATCTACAGGATGCCCTAATACCTATAGTTGACTCCTTTGCACCCACAAATTCACTATAAGATAGAACGAGAGACCTATATTATTAAGTTGAACGCGATCACAAATCCTTATTTATCTGATGTTCAATATCAGATCTCTGTAATGATGTGGTGGCCACCTCAAATGTCGTAGATAATTGGGTATTAATAGCTTTCCTTTAACCATTGTCCGTAACACTTAAACGAAATCTGCATTGAAAGGAGATGACATTATCGACTCCTAACGTCTTTATCTTTTGGTGTGAAATTACAGTTTCAAGATTTCTAAATTTATTTATTTTTTACTGATGTTGGTTTCCTCAATAAGCAGCCATGAATGTTTTGAATTTAATCATGTTTATATCGTCCTGCTACCTTCCAAATGAAGAAGGAATTATATTCATTTTTATTTTTGGAAAACAATTATAAATTAGTATCATCTATTTTTGGCATACGTCGTTATAAAGTATAGATCTCTAGAGCATAATACTTTGTTAATTATATAACGGAACCCTACCGTACCAATGCTGACATGTCATTGTATTATCTATAAAATGTTGTGATGTTCAAAACGTTAGAAAAATAGATATTCAATAACTTAGTGACTTTTATATTTATTGCTTAGATAGGTGGATGAACTCACGGCTCACCTGGTGTTGATGGTTACTGGAGCCCATAGACATCAACAACGTCGATGCCGACTCCAACTTGAGACATGAGCTCTAACGCTCCGTTTTCTGGTACAACGACTCTCCTGGCTTTCAAACAGAAACTCATTAGTGTTCCACGGCAGAAATATTGTTGATGGTAACTATACATGCAGGCTCACAAGACTGCCATTGTCCAAAACAACGTGAATGAGCTGTGAAATCTCTACGAATTCATTTTTTATAGATGGAGTCAATAACTTAGTAGCCGGAGTATCTAAAACTGCGTTTTGGGCCATCATTGTTACATCTGTGATCACCGCCAGCGCACTGATACTCATCGTGTATTTTTTGAAAAGAAAGAGGTATGTTATCAAAATGAATATCATCAATTTGGATCGTACATTTACGGCTTAATATCGCCTTTATTGTTTTACAGACGTCCGTGATTATAAAATAAGTGAATCGTAAGAGATTTAAACACTTGATTGTATTGTAAAAATAGTTTTAATTGTTTCTATGATTCAAGAGAGCCAAAAAAAGCACAGAAACAATAATTTTAATTCTATATTATTTGTTGATCGATTACATAACCTTAATGTAGTGTAATATTATCATTATTTTTATTGCCCTTGTAGGCAGACGAGCATACGGCCCACCTGATGGTGAGTGGTTACCGTCGCCCATGGACTTCAGCAATGCCAGGGGCAGAGCCAATCCGCTGCCTACCGCTAATAGTAATAAAACCGTTAATAGTAGGCATGGTAAATAAAGTCATAATTCACTTACTGTTTCGATACAGGGAGAGGCCGACAATGAAACAATCATCAGAGCTTCAAATCAACGCTGGATCCGGTCAGTATGTGGTAGCGTACACACTAAAACCTTCCAAACAAGCTCAACCTGATATCTTAAATCCACCTTCTGGTAAGTTCTTTTAAATCATAACACGTATTCTTCAAGATAATATTTCACTAACCAGTTACATACTAGTTATGGAACAGAGTGATTTCTTAAAAAACAATTACGATAGATGCTTCTTTTAAATTTCTAGATGAGTTTATATGCATTCCATTAGTATATTTTGGTCGTTGTATGTTAAGAATTGTAGTGACAATGATGCGAATCGTATTTTATGTCGTCTCTCACGAAATCCTCAGTACGTTATGATAATATGATCGTATAACATAGCTATCTCTAAGGTATCTGGTAGTGACAGACACTTACTTACCATATTTTTGCCTATCGGTTGGAGAATTTGGATAGGAGGCATAGGATTGGTACAGAAGTCCATAGGTGTAAAGTGGTTACTCTCTAATATTGGTGTCTGCATCCTTGATTTGAACGTCGGGATCAGTCATCTTATCCTTTAAGCCTTCGTCAAACAGAACGCGTAATTAGCGCGCGTCAGAGCGCTAAACTGACGATGAGATGTGTTGTACTACTATGGTAACATACCGTCAAACAGAGCCCCAGCGCTATAAGTACGCAGCGCTCTGTCGCGGCGTTAGGACGCTTTGACGTCAGGCGTTGTAATTTTTTACAAATGTTATTTTAGTGTCCGAGTGAATGTGTGTTAAAATACTAGATAATGCCCGAAAAAATGATATAAATAGTTAGAAAATACCCATGCTTATACAATGCCACATCTGAATCACTCGATTTCTTAATACTTTTAAATTTTCACACTGCTATCGAAAGGCACTATGATTTGGCGAATGCGTTACGTAAAGAAGCGTTAGACTCATCTAGTCAATTTGAAGAGCGCGGCGTTAAGTACGCGGTGCTAAGTACGCGTTCTGTTTGACGAAGGCTTTAGGCCACACCATCTTCTAAATGACATCATGTCGCTTTGTATTACTTTGGCAGCGTCTGTAGCATATTATTATACCGCTGTTGAAATATAAATATCTTCTAAAAAAATACATTGCTGATTATATTTTAGCACCAAGCTTATTCAGCGTAATTGAAGTATCAGAGGACTTTTGTACTGTCTGACGTTTTAGATGGGGGCACTCAAATTGCTAAGGGCGTTGCAGGGACTGTCAAAAATGGCACTCTACCCATGAGTGACGAGTGGTCCGCCGGCGAAAGAACCCAGTACCCGGTGAGTTATTTTAATCGAAAATACTATTAAATTCATGGCATTGTTTTTGTTATTATTCTTCTATATTTTTGTCTATATTCTATCTGTCTATATATCAATTTTAAGGCTGAACAGAGGCAGCAGTATATATTATTAATCCATGGAATATAATATAATAGTTAAAATTATTTAAATACAATTGTATTGTTTTGGGGTAATGTCGGAAATCTAAAGTTTTTTAATCATATTTGCGACTTGCGAGAAACCTTCGAAAATACTAGTATTTATGTCACTCAGATTAGCCCAAAATTACATTTAGATTATATACTTAATACTTACATAGTACTTAAATAAATAGTTAATTTTGTAATAAGATACTTTTTCGTGTGTGTTATGATTTCACGCAAAAATATTAAAAATATTTTTTCGGGTTCATTTCCAGTTTTTTGCTTCCGTATTATAAATTCTGTCGTTTTGAATATATTTTAATAAGCACGAGCTACAATTAATTGATATGTAACTTTGTTTGTTTATTTATTTTCACAAAACTAAGTAAATTATCTTGAAAATATAGAAATTAAAAACAGTATTAATTTGTGATGAGGTTATGTGAAAAACATATTAGAGTTATATGTTTAAATTGACCTCGCATGAATGGAATTGTTGTCTAGTGTCCTTATTATACAACGTAGTGGTTCAATTTAATATTATTATACATTAACAATATCAATTCCAAACTAAAACGAGTGTGTGAGCACCAAATATAAAAGCACAATAACTGTAAAATTTACGAGCCACGGAACTTAATATCTTTACGACTATAAAAAGAACCGACCGAAAATTTTCGCGCGTGGAAACACATCTTTATTCCACACGCAAATACGAAGATACATTTTTTATTTTATTATACAATCAGCAGCGATGAGAGCGTATTAATGTTTTATAACGAATACATACGTTACCGTATGCAAAAAAAAAATGTCCGAATAAATTAATCAATATTCGCTCGCTTTTTTTCCTGAATTTCGACCTTTGCTTTTTTTCGTTTTATTCACGAAAAAATATTCAATTTGTTTAATGTAAATGCTATTTTTTTATTGCTATATTCGTAGCTATAATATGTTAAGGCTACTAAAAATACGTTCTGAAAACTAGGTCGTTAATAAATATAAAAAAAAAAACCTAAAATCAAACATCAAAAAGTTTACACCCATGTGAATAGTGTAAAATTCACATAAATGTCGTAGATCTAATTAAAATTCCTTAAAAGTTTTGAATCAGTAACGGATATTAAGACTGGTATAGAAACTCGTGGCACCCGAACATTGTCGATAAAATGGTATTTTCATTCACAGTCGTCGCCGAAAACGTCACTCTCAAGTAAGCCAGCTGCCTCTGGGACCACCACGCTCAGTAGGAGAGAGCATCTCATAGCTGAAGAGATCCCAGGACCGGAGAGTTGCGTATAAGCATGTACCAGCGTTTGTAATGTCACTGTGTTTACAAAACGATTGGCGTTTTTATTTTATTTTATTGCTTAGACGGGTGGACGAGCTCACAGCCCACCTGGTCTTAAGTGGTTACTGGAGCCCATAGACATCCACAACGTAAATGCGCCACCCACCTTGAGATAAGTTCTAAGGTCTCAGTATAGTTACAACGGCTACCCCACCCTTCAAACCGAAACGCGTTACTGCTTCACGGCAGAAATAGGCAGGGTGGTGGTACCTGCCGCGCGGACTCACAAGAGGTCCTTCCACCAGGAAAAACTACTGTACTTTGAAACAGAATCGTCAGAATTCTTTGATATGATAAGTCGCGATCATGTTTTAATGAGTACACGTGTAACACTGAGTGGCTTTTTCCATTTATTCAAAGCGTTTTCTTCGGTACTATGTACTAAAATATGTTCATTTTGTACATTCACGTATCGTTTATTCGCTCGAATTGAAACCTTATTTGTTGGTATTTACTTCACCAGAGGATGAACGAGCTTTGCTCGTTTTTTTTTTTTTTTTGATAACGCCATCTTGTTGTGTCCTTAAAGCGGTTAGTTGCCCTCAATTAAGAAAAATAGTATTATTATTCGCCAATAGATGTCAGGAAGAGTTGATTATTGAAAACACGAATAAAACAACATTTTCTGAAAATAAATCGTAGCTAGATCGATTTATCGCCCCCGAAATTCCCTGTATACTAAATTTTATGAAAATCGTTGGAGCCGTTTCCGAGATTCAGATTATATATATATATACACAAGAATTGCTCGTTTAAAGGTATAAGATACAATCGGCTGTGAAATATCAAAACCCAGTATCTGCATAAAACTAAATTTTAAAGGAGAGCCGAAAAACAATTTCATATTTTTGACTGATTTTTACTCATTTTATAGACAAAAACACGCATGACGTGCAAAGATTTTCTCACTTACTAAAGTTGTGCGCGGGAGTTTTGACATTTATTTCAACCATTTCATTGACTTAGTATCTGCATGAACCATTTTAAATCCAAGTAACTACAAGCACTAATCTTGTAATTTTTGTATTTTGAAAACGGTTACTGTAGATACTAGATTTCCGACTTTGTGCAACTTCGTTTTTTACAAATTTTTGGGGGTTTTTGCTATCCTGGTGCGTGGAGAATGGACTACAAGATCTAAAAATGCAAAAACACACTTTTTTAAATTTCTTAGATACTAGGTTTTGAAATTGGACAGCCGCAATGTTTTTGTTAAAGAACCATCAATTTACGGTATGTAGAGCATGAGTTTCAACAATAGAATGGATTACGCATTTGAAAATAAAAATTGAACGAATATTTTCGAATACCTATCTCTATTTAAGGAAATAATTAAAATTTGTATATTGTTTTTAGAATTAAATTACATATAAAACAAGAGAAAAAATTATCACGCGCTTTGTAAACACAGCGACATATTTTTTTCTTGTAAAATTGAAAAATGAAATTAAAAATGTAAAAACATTGAATGGCATACAAACAATTTTGTAATTTTTGTATATATTAGTAATATCCCTGTACGTGTAAATGACTGTGGCCATTGTGATAAAACAAAAAAATGTAAATATTAACTAAAACAAATAAAATTGAGTATTAATACTGTGTGTTGCTGTTTCATTGTTGTTTTTATAAGTCCATATGACGTCGTGGCCTAAAAGATAAGACGTCCGGTGCATTCGTGTTGAGCGATGCACCGCTGTTCGAATCCCAGGCGGGTACCAATTTTTTTAATGAAATACGTACTCAACAAAATATGTTCACGATTGACTTCCACGGTGAAGGAATAACATCGTGTAATAAACCCACAAATATTAATTTGCGTAATTACTGGCGGTAGGACCTCTTGTGAGTCCGCGCGGGTAGATACTACCACCCTGCCTATTTCTACAGTAAAGCAGTTATGCGTTTCTGTTTGAAGGGTGGGGGAGCCGTTGTAACTATACTGAGACCTTAGAACTTAAAGAACTTAAATCTCAAGGTGGGTGGCGCATTTACGACGTAGATGTCTATCTATGGGCTTCTGTAGCCACTTAACACTAGGTGGGCTATGAGCTCGTCCACCCATTTAAGCAATAAATAAAAAGATCATAAACGAACAACATTACTACCTCACTTCGTTTTCGGAACCCTTCAAAAAGACCCAGTAAAAATAATAGTGCAATGAAACCAAAACCAAAGAGCGGCCTATTTCTCGTTGTGACGTCATCTGTTAGGATAAATTGTCGATAGCGGCTTGCTGACTAACCCAATCAAAGCTTAATTAATCATTAATTTTAGGATGCGTGTTTGTAAATCAGCGTGTAGCAATCCAGCCACAAGGGACGAGGATTTTGATTATGTTGTTAGTATTAAAAGCGTACATTATAAACGAGTGGCGGAATATTATGCAGGAGGTACGTGACTAATGCATCACAGTTAATCGCAACATGTGAATTATGCAGGCCGCCTCTAATATAAGGGAAATCCCGAAAGCGCAATAATGAACATCCGACGTAATCCGGCACGGGGCTGTTGGTTAACCAATTAGGAGCGTTTTGTTAACGTAAAATTATAATTAACAATATAATTTGGAACAAATTCGTGTTTGGCAGTTGTCAAGTTTCATGCAGTAGTCGATTAAAGCAAACTAGAGGTCCCGCAGTAGTCGAAATTCGACTATAATTAATTGGAATTGTAAGTTTGTACACTATTATGATTATCTATATTTTATACTTCTATAATCACAAATTTCGTCAAGACTACACTATAAAAAATATTAACAAAGACAAACAATATTTAATCTCAATTTGACAACAGACGTCAAGAACAAAATTTTGACAATAAATAGTATGCATGCTTGGTGCGTCAAATACATGGTATGTAGTGTGTGTAAAGTTTTCTTTATTGATTTAATGTATCTTTCATGCATTATTTTGAAAAAAATATTAGCATTGTGCACTTCTTCTCTATATTCTCTATAAGTGTGGAAAATTTCATACTCGTCATAACTTTACATAATTTTCGTAAAAAGGGATACAAAGTTTTTGCTTCACGCATTAATATATAGATAATGTTTGTCAAGAAGCTAATACAGCAGACGATTTCAGGCTTACGTCCGGTGTATTCGTGTTGAGCGATGCACCGGTGTTCGAATCCCAGGCAGGTACTAATTTTTTTAATGAAATACGTACTCAAGAAATGTTCACGATTGACTTCCACGGTGAAGGAATAACATCGTGTAATAAAAATCAATCCCGCAAAATTAAAATTTGCTTAATTACTGGTGGTAGGACCTCTTGCGAGTTCGCGCGGGTAGGTACCACCGCCCTGCCTATTTCAGCCGTGAAGCAGTAATGCGTTTCGGCTTGAAGGGTGAGACAGCCGCTGTAACTATACTTGAGACCTTAGAACTTATATCTCAAGATGGGTGGCGCATTTACTTTGTGGATATCTATGGGCTCCAGTAACCACTTAAGTCGCGCAGCAAAATCCCAATCTCCTGCCGTAAGGAACTTCGTTCCAAAAATCAAACCGCATCACAATGTTCAATTGTGTTAATTTTTATATTATTGTATGTATGTACGTAGGTGCATCTAATACATAAGACTTACTACAGCTATTAATCTAAATCGATTTGTAAATTTATTACACTCGACGCCTAGATAAAGTTCACGTACCTTTCTCGTGTGAAGTGGTTGCTGACGGCCCTAGACGTGATATTTAGGTATTAAGGTTAGAAGTCAAACTGTCTAGAAATAGTACGATAGTAGAAATTACTCGGGTCGACCATGTATAGTAGGTACTGTCAGTTACTATACAAATTGATAATGATTAATACAGGATACATTTTTTCCATTTTGGAAGTGTTCACTATTACAATATGTATTCGGTAAGTATTTGTAATCGCGACATAGACACATCGTTCGACACGAATAACTCCGTGCCTTTTATTCTTTAGGCCTCGAATTCTAGAGAAAGTAAAAGAATATTGTCGCTAAAAATGAATGAATCATTCTAATTAGCGATACATGGAAATTATGTTCGTCAGTTTACATTTATCTGAGATACTCTTGGAGTAAATGTTTTAGGATTTTTTTTTTCTCTGCTAGCGCTGTCGAGAATGAGCACGAAATTCCCAAGCGTGTGCTCGTTTAACTCGTAATTTTTCATTGAGCCCGAGAGTCGGCGAGAAAGCCTCCAATTAAGTTTCTCTTTGCCGTTTGCTCCCGGAAAAGGGAAAGAAAAATGAACAACAAAGGCAGAGGACAGTTCGGAACTTGACTTCTTCGTGTGATGTCAAATGACCTCTCTAAATAGTTTTTACTCTGATATATTTCTTAGCAGCTTTTTGACGTATACGATAAATCAATGTCCACTCTAGTTTAGGTGACCTCGGTACTATATCTGATCTTAATTAAAGAAATATTCTGATATTATAGTTCGACAAAAATAGAAACAGCTTTACGACGCAAATTAGGGGTTATTACTGTTTACCGCGCGCGCGTATAATTCTCATGTTTTGATGTGATCGTAAAACATTAAACGTGGCCAGTCGATTCTTACTCGGAGGTGTAAATGGAATGTTACTTTATTCGCGCTCTGACAATAAATCCACTCACCTACAAAGCCCGTAAAATTCGGTGGGTTGATTGAGTCAGTATTTTTATTGTTTCGGGCCGTGAATCAATGGCGAATGTTGGAGTAATAAAAAAAGTTTTACGATTGTTTTCACGGGGAAATTTGTGGCGCATGAAATGCTCTCCCACACTCATTTTCTTACTGAGCGTCTGCTATTAGGAACATACTTGACATTGTCGGCAAGTTTTAAATCCTTAAGCGAACAGTTCTCTATTGAGGCAAATATTCGTGTAGAATTTGTATACACCACTTGTGAATGTGCACAAAAAATGTAAAATGGTGCGCTCACTCATAGTCTCTCAGAGTGTCTCTTACTGGTGAATGGTGGTGACCGACGAAGGTGATATGTATTTGAAAAATTTGAAAACCTATTATAATATTGTTTTTTTTAAATTTTGAATTGTTTCACTTTTTCATTTATTACTTCAGTTGGTATTTTTG